GTATTTAATGCACAATATTGTAAACTGATAGATTCAAAAACTCGATAATCGAGTTTTTGTTTGATTTTGCCGAGCACAAAAGTATTTCACATTGATTGCAAATTTTTTTTTCATGTAAAATTGAAATAATTGTTGCTAGATCATGTTTAGACTAATCAAGACTAGTTTATTTGAAATTTTGTTAAACTTTAATCACTTTTAGTTAATTCAAAATCTTCATTATCATCATTATTATTATTAAATTTCTACAAATAAAAATTTAAATTATAAAATTATTAAAATGGATCAAGTTTAATATAAGAGACTCTACTCTAAATTCAATTAATTAATAATCAATTTTATTAGTGGGTCCTTTATACTAAACTTGATTCTTATAAATTAATTTTAAATATAATATTTTAAATTTTTTGCTTTTATGCTTATTAGAAGTAGTTGATATATTTGATAGCATTGTTGCTATAATAAAAACTTCCTTTTGTTTTGTAATTGCATGGTTATATTCTTTGGTAAATATAACAAAATCATCTTCATTAGTAATTTGAGTTCCAATGTCTGTTTTGCATATAACTTTATATGTTAAAATATAATCTTTTTGATCTAATTTAAAGTTATTTGTTAAACTTTAAACTTGCAATTGTATTTCTTTATAAAATTCTATACATGATTAAGCAATAAATAATAATTATTTAGCTAGAAAGATAATTTTATTTTGTTCTTTTATATATAATTTTACTATAAATTTTGGTATATGCTCTTGATCTTCATCTTTGCAATTATGAGAATTATTATCAAATATTTCATATAGAATTAATTCTTCTTCATAATTTGAAGTGGTAGATATATTATCATCATCAAGAGATATTGTTTCTTGATAATTAGTTGTTAAAATCAGCTTTTTTTTATAATTAGAAATAGTAATATTATTATTACTACTATTTTTATAATTAGTAAATACAGTTGCACTCCTATATAATCACACCATCAGGACCTATAAAAAGTGTTCTTATAGAAAATGAGCTTATATAGAGAGTAATTTTTATATATTTAATAGTAAGCAGTTCAAAAAATAAATGTGCTTATAAAGATGATGTGCTTATATAGGAGGTGCTTATATAGGAGTGTGACTGTATATCATTATCAATAGATATATTATCATCAAAAGATATTGTTCTTTGATAATTGCTTATTAAAATCGACTCTTCTTCATGATTAGAAATAGTAACATTATTATTACTAGTAAATATATCATTATCAATAGATATATTATTATCAAGAGACATCGCTCTGATATTTGGTTGTTGAAATTTGCTTTTCTTCATGATTACAAACAGTAAGATTATTATAACTACTATTCTTATAATTAGTTAATACATTATTATTAATTGATATATTATCATTAAGAGATGTCATTCCTTGATATCTGGTTGATGAAATTGGCTTTTCTTTGTAATTTGAAATAGTACTATAATCATAATTCCTATTCTTATTATTATTGTTAAGAGATAAATTTTTTTGTTGTTTTTTTTTGTTTTATGTTTGCCGGAATATTTAGCACAATACCATTTTGCATTACATGAGCTGCAGAGAGAAAATTGAAAATTCAAAGAAAAATCTACATTGTAATTGCATATTTTATTTTGCTCCACTAAGAGATCAAATTGCTTCGTTGAAAAATCTTCACAGTAGTTAAGCTTAAAAACCCAAGAAACTTCTTTTGTCCGATTTTTTTTATTAGGAATTGAGTTTTAATACATTTACAAGATTTTAAAGATGTATTTTGATTACAATAAAGACACTGAGTACACAAATAGCGGGTACCAATTAGGTAAGTTTTTGAAGATTCCATATAAAGAATTTTATGTAAAAGACAAAGTTATAATATCTATACAATTGCAATTGCAATTATAATCGTAATCACTATCACAATTACAATCATTTTACAAAAAAAAAAATTAGTAATCATAGGGGGGTCACAAAATTATGCAAACCGCAATAATCTAGGTTGAATAAGTTATTATTTTCAAGAGAAAATGGTACTTCAATCATATAAATTCTGGATAATTGAAATCTTTTGGTGTCACTCATCACTGTATTAATCAATATACTTTAAGATAGTAAGTGTACATATAAAGAATGTTCATTAGTCAGTTATTTAATAAAATGGTATTTATCCCCCAAAAGTGTTTAAGTTCGCAAATCTTCATTAGGGTAATTTAAAATTAATATGTTTAGAAACATTTATGCAACTTAACTTCGCATTAAGATAATCATGATGTCATTTACAAGCCAGTAAGCTATTCAGATTTATGAATATTTACATTAAACTGTATCTTAATTTCATTTTATTAGATTGATCAGTTGGATGAATATAAAAGATAAGTGCATTTAAAATAAACTACTCGTAAATGTTTATCATTGCATATATAATAAGTATTATATATACAGGATAGCAACAACTTTTTCAAGTCTCCCAGCTACAAGAGATAAGCTTGGCCGAACAGTAAAAAAATAAAAAATAAAAAATCAAGAACCTTTCGCTACGAACTTTGAGGATCAATGACTATCTATCCATGAAACCAGTGTGTTATCTTAATTCTAAAAATACAACACTAGTAGAATATTATACTATGTCATTGCAGCACTGCAGTATTTTAGCATAATACTGCAATAGTATTATAATAATTAGATACAACTATATGGTATTTCAATATAATGGCATATCGGCATTACGGAATTACGGGCTTATGACACAAAATAATTGCGGCAAATAATATAGCACATGCCGTAACCGTATTAATACCAAATTAATTCTAACACCAACACTAATTGGTGGACTTAAAAAAAAATTTTTTTTTTGAAAATTGAAGGGTCGGAGGGTATTACAATACGAAAAATCAACTTTGCGTGGCCTAAGCTATTTGAGAACCATTCTCTAAAACGATAATCACATCAATATATGCAGTCTTCAACAATCAGAATATTATAATGGGGGTTTCAATATTAACAAATAAGTGACACATTTCGAAAATTAATAGAATTTTTCGATAACAACTTTACTATGTTGGGTTATAAATCGGAATATTAAAATAAGACTCACTGATTTAATTTGAAACTCCCTAATGTTAATTGCTAAAAACTAGGTCGAAAGAAAAGGATAATTAATTAGAAAGATGATGCATCTGTTACTCAAAGTAACAAACTTACCAATATGGTATCATAAATCGGAAATATGCATATTAAAGTGTACACAACTTATCAAGAATACAAAAAATGTGCGGGTTTACTTATTTCTCACTGTGATACAAATCACATAAACTTATAAATATTTTATTTACCGTAAATTTGCTTTAACTTTAAAATTAGGAAGAATAGAAACTATACTAAAATTTTGCAAGGAATTTTTTTTGTTAGAACTCAAGAGGCGGTTATTTAGACAAAATTTTGAGTTATTGGCGATTTTTTTTAAAGATACCAACAAATTTCATGTTACACCTTATTTTTACAATCTACATTTACATTAAAAAAAAAAAAAACAATCTACATACTAAAATTTCCTTTTTTTGGTTTGTATCACGGTAGAAAGTAAGGGCACGCCTATTGATTGTCTCATTGATAAATACCCGTATCGTATGATACAAACAAACCCGCAAAAGAAATTTGGCTACCAAAATAAACCTGTGTTACAATAACTAAAATAAATTGTTACACAATATATTGGTTCAATTCATACTGTACGACTCAAACTTGCTAATATTGATATTTAAAATAAAACAAACATATTTACTGTCTACTTCTTGCAGGTTTATGCGAATTTTGTTAAATTTGCTGACCTTTCTAATGTTTATTTCTACACCTTATATTCGATTGAATGGTCAATGGTCAAAACGAACAAGATGTTCAAAATGTTCTTTATTTAGGACGTTATTTATCTCTATTATTTTTTTTATTATAATTTTTTTTCTATTATTTGATCTTAAATTTAATATTAAAGTTTATTTGAGAGATTGGATTTCACATGAAGAATTTAAACAAGAAAGTTTAAGTAAATGTTTTGACAACATTCCAAATAATAATAAACCATCATTAATTTACAATGAAATTTTAACCGATTTACCTCTCACTAATGGTTGGGATTGTTACGATTTTGCAAAAAGTATAAAATTAAAACCTGGTCAACCTCGTGAACATATTATTTATCATGCTTATTGGCGTGCTGATTTACGACCTTTAGGTGATAAACAAATCGCTACATTAAAATCTTTCTTTGCTACTCAAGACGCAAATTTTTCTTCTTTGATTCTTTGGACTAATGGAAATATTTCAAACACTCCTTCTCTTAAACCATTATTTGAACATTATTCTAATCGATTCATAATTAGAAATTATGATGTCGAATTAGAAAGCAAAGGAACTCCAATAGAAGGTTCACCAAACATTAAACTTAATGATAAACAAGCTTACCTTGATGGAGATTTGATTAGACTCCTTGTTTTATATAAATATGGTGGGATGTGGTTTGATATGGATTCTCTTTTAATACGTGATTTTTCTCCACTCATGGAGCATGAATGGCTTGGTCAATGGGATTGCTTTATGCCAAGAGGTTATCCTTTTAATGGTGCTTTTATGAGATTTCGAAAGGATTCTCCTTATTTATGTGAACTCCTTTCCGAAATAGCCAATGGTCCAGTTCCTACTAAATCTTCAATTGAATGGGGTGGAAGACTTTATTATAAAATTTTTAGACGTATAATTCAAAATGGAAAAAAACCATTCGACATGATTCCTTGGTGTTTTGTCGATCCTCAATTATGTCATCCATATAATTCAATGCCTAGTGCATTTGATGAATCTGAATTTGATGAAGAAAGATTATTACAGGTATTTGCTTTTCATTGGCATAATCAATGGGATAAGAAAAAAGGAAATTTATTTAGATTTCTGGAGCAAAGAAATAATGAAATTTTGGGATTTTAAAACATTTATCAAAACTTTATGTAATTTATAACGATAGATTTGTTAATAATTTTCGCTTAGTTGTGGGTCTATAAAAAATAGGGAATAAAAACTTTTTATTAGTAATAAAACAGTGGCGTTTTATAGGGCTGGAGCCTTAAATATTAGGTTCGAAATTTTTTTTTAAAAAAACTGTAAATTAATACTGCAACTTATCTAATATATCAAATAATATAATATATCCAATTCATTAATAAATACAAAATATTTGTATTAATACGCAGTGAACAAACATAAATAATTCATAAAATCATAATGAAAAAAATAAATTGTTTATTCAATAGTTCATTCATAAGTCACAAAGAAAGAGTAATACGTATAGTTGTGGTGTATGAGTGAGCAAAAGAGTTGCGTATAATACATTGAATTAGCAAACACGTGTGTATGGTCGGTGAGGTCACAACTGAGTATAAAGTAATATATTGTGTATAGTATGCATTATATATAAAATTTATGCAAACGTGATATTAAAGAAAAACCAAGCTTCGGGCTTTTAAACTCATAATATCGGGTCCAAAAATTTAATATATTGAGTCTATAACGTTATTTTGATAGTTTAAAAGCCCGAAGTCTAATATGGTTATTAAATAGCAAATGCAAGTGATTGTAACGATGATTTTTTTTCTCCTTTCAAAAAAAATAAAAATCGATTTTTAAAAATGTCTATAAATAAAATGTTGATACCTTTAGATGATATTAGTTCTGACGATGAATCCATATTGTCGGGTGATAGTTTTTTTGACGATGAAAATTTTCTTGAAAATAATTCTTTTAATGAAACCGATAAAGGGAAAAATTTTCTTGAAAGAAATAATTCTTTTAATAAAAATTTCGAAAACTTTGACATCGATGATACATTTGAAGAAAATAGGGTTTCTGCAGGCTCTTTTTCCCGAGAAGCTTCTAGATCTTCACCTGAAATAGAAAATTCGGAAATATTTCTTACAAAAAGTTTGACCGCTAAAGAAATAATTCATTCATTAGCTCCAATCGAATATCCACCCACGTGCGAAGAAGGAATTGCTATAGTATATCATGTTGACGGGTGGGAAAAGGTAGATTCGGCATTTACAGATGCAAGTATTTTGATATAATATATATCAATATATAATAATTATTTATAATCGTATTACTTATTTTATCTTTTTTTTTTTAGATTCAATATTCCATGGGCAAACCATGCGGTCAAAATCAAACAACTTGTTATTACCTTGGTGATGTCGCTGTAACAAAAAAAGATAGAACATGCCAAGGAGTTAAATTGTGTGAATTTGCGAATTCAGAACTTCAGGAAATGCGACAT